CTCTCAAACCGACAGTAAACCTCTCGGTCTTATTCTAATCTGGAACTAGAGACCTATCTGTCTCGTTTCAAGTGTTCATCCTCGTTCTGAGTGAGGATTAACGTTCGGTATTTGGTGTCTTTTATAAACTTTTGATCAAAGAGGAAATTGAGATGATTGATAATGAATGATGAAGAAAATACGAGATGAATGGAATGTTGTGAATTTGTACGAGCGTTCCAGGGAGGAACGACTCAGGATTGAGAATTGAGATTAGTAAAGTATGACTGTGGTTATGCTAGTGCTGGCAGTTCATCCTGATGTTTCGTGGGTACTCGTCCTCACGTAGAGGAGAGTAGGTCATGTGTGGGAACGGAAGGAGGTCCTAGTCCTTAGGGGTACTTTGGACGGAACGGACTAACCTCGGGTGGCAGCTGATGAGAATTCCAGTTACTACATCACCCGGGTGCACGAACGCCTGTAGCTACACAGATTTCATACAGTCCGGACGGTCAGTCTAGTGATAGGCTTGGTATGATACGTACGTTGAAATGTTTCTTGTATGTTGAATTGTTTAACTTATATGTTGATGCATGAATTAAATTATATAAGCTTACCCTGTGTTTTCCTTGTGTTGTCTCGTCTTGTGCGTTCGTCTTGTCATTGAAATGATCATCCGTGTGAATGTGAGCAGATGGAGATGCGCTGCTGGAAGAGGCGTTAGAAGAGGAGAACTTAGTCGAAGTGGAAGTAAAGGCCGAGCCGTAAGACGTTCGGTTATTAGATAATAGTTTAGTATGAGGTGATCGTTCGATCACCTCCTCTATTTCGTTTTACTCTCTGACCGATCGGTATTTTGGCTTTTGTAAGCCGTCCGGTCACGTTTTCCCTGATCTTGTACAGTTTACTTTTGGAACTTCTTGTAAGGCCGTTCGGCCATAGTTGTACTCTCTGTAAGCGTTAAAACTGACTTGTGTTATTATTAATTGTAATTATTCTATTATATGGTTAAATACTATATTTTTAGGATGTTACAACGTAGCGTTTGCTTCCCTTGTAGGTATTATATTAATAAAACTTGTTAAAAAAAATTCATGAAATGATGGTATAATTTTATGCGATTAACTTATGAGGTATGTATGGCAAACTTATTGACTATTATAAAATTATTTTGTTAAATTGGACCAAATATGAATTTCGAATTTCACCTTTTAAGAGTGTAAATTTCAAGTGTTAAATTCAATTAGGTAGGGTAAACCAGATTAGTAGATAATTTCTTTTGTATCATAATAAATCCGATAAAAATATTATTTTATTTTAATTCATTAAAAAATTAATGTAACATAGATAATCTAATAAAAATTCAATACATTTTTTTCTCTATGTTTATTTTTCTACAGCGAATTACATTAAGCTGCCACATCAGCAATTGAGCACACGAAACACATTTATTGCCATGTCATTTTCATCCATACCGACACCTTCTAGACCATATACTTTAAGAACCATCTTATCCACTCAGAATATATTCTATTTAAAATAAAAAATGCAAAGAAATATACGTGATATTTTTGTCTGTATTCAAATTGTAATTGAATTCTTTGAAACTTTCGATTCATTAAGCTTTTATCATGTTATAAATTGTATTATTTAATTCAATACAACACTGAGCAATATATAAAAATACCACAAATTATTTTATACCGAATATGTTCTTTTATATTTTTTCTTAAAAGTCTTTAGGGTGAAGCTCTAGAAAATATTAAGCTTCCACTCTTACTTTTCACAATGTAGGTTTTATATGATTTAAAATGAATTTTTTTATACAGGCAAAAATTTAACACATTTTAAAAAAAAGTGTGTATCTAGTCTGTCAAGTTTGTATATATTTATAGAAAAAAATAATTTATTCAAAGATACATCATATATCTCAAAACCAACAAAATTTTATTTTCCAATAAGATATTTTAAAGAAGTTTAAAATATCCCATCACAAACATATTGCACATATTTCACATTTTAAACTTTGTAAACATTTCCAACGCTAAATATATTGTTCAACAATATTAAATTCTATATTTCAAATAATTCCGTGTTAAAGATAGTTATGTTTATATTCTAAAATGCACTTATTAAATGAAAAATTTATAAAAACATAAAAATACAAAACATGAAAATCACACTATGATAAATTGTTTTTTTCATCAAACATAAATAAATTATATGAAAAAGGTCTAAATAAATAGATAAAAATAAAACATTAAATTATTTATAATATCTTTTATGAATAAAAGTCAAATTAACTAAGCTATAAATATATATTTTTCTTGAAAAAAAAGCATAAGAAACTTTAAGTTGCATATGCTTAAAAATTAAATATAAATCACAGTTATCTTTCTCCAAAACTTCAAAAATCACTTATTCATTTAAGAAATAATGACAAACTAAAATAAAAACACTATTTAACTATAAAGACTTGGAAAACCCTTTAGTAGAAATATGTTGTAAAACATAAATGGTCTCATAATTTCAACATAAATAATTTTTTGCATTTATTGATAAATTATCCACACACATTACAATGAATTCTCCATTTGCTCAATAATTACTTGGATGATACATTCAAGAATCACTCTAATACACTTTGATACTTAAGTTAGAAAGGATTCCATTACTCAAACATTAGTAATTAATGTCAATAACTATCTCACATGACTTCTTATTTATACAAATTGTAATTGACATTTACTTATTAAGAACTTGATTATAACATAATTATCTCTTGATTATAATTATAATGTTGATTTGCATTAAACACCATAAGTCTGACCACACTCCTGATATACCCCGATCAACATTTCCATACAATCTCCATATAAATTCGATTGGATATGTTCTATATACACATTAGACCTAACCCTACCAAATTCCTAAATTAATTTCAATAATTTAATATAAGCACATATCCATATACATAAAATTATCAAATATATTTTCCTTTGTCTAAGAAATACTTATACTTAAGATACAAGTGGACAGTTTGAAAAACATCAAAATCCTAAAGATTTAAATTAATATAGCATATTAAAGTTAAATTTAAATTGGAAGCAAAACTAAATGAGTTTATGACTTCAACCCACAAGTAAGTCTAACCAGCATTAATAAAAAAATATACAATTGACTTCAAAAGTAGCTATCCAAAAATATCTCATTAATCAAATAGAGAATATTCCAATAAAACTATTTTGTTAAAGAAAAGTAATGCATAAATATAAAAATATAAAGAATTGTAAATTTTCACTCTCAAAATAAAAATTAAAATCGTATAATTTTAGGCTTAAATATGTTTTTGGTCCCTTAACTTTCAGCGAAAATTGGAATTAGTCCCTCTTCAAAACTTTGGAATAATTTAGTCCCCAAACTATAAAAATATGTGAATTTAGTCCTTATAACAAAATTTTGTTAAATTTATTTGATGTTTCAAGTGCGTTTCATGATAGCATTTGAGTTGTTTACACCGTTTGACACATTTTTGCTTCAACGTTCACTGATAAATGCGTTTGAAACATCAAATAAAGTTAACAAAATTTGGATAAAAAGAATAAATTCACAAAATTTTAAAGTTTGGGGACTAAATTAGTCCAAAGTTTTGAAGAGGGACTAATTCCAATTTTAGCTGAAAGTTAAGGGACCAAAACCATATTTAACCCATAATTTTAAGTAATATAAACTTGTTTATGAAATTCTAAAATTTGGATTTCTGTTGCATAAATCATAACAAAATAATGAATTTTGAAATCCTCCTATCCATTTCTTTGAAATTAAAAGTTATGTAAGAGATACAGTTAAGATTTCAACAAATTTTAAGCATTAGCCACGCAAAATTATACAAAGAAGTTAATTTGAAAAGGAATTTAAAGATTACATTATTGAATAAAAAGTTATTTCACAAATTGTTTAAATTATTAAATAATAATAACAATAACAAATATGATAAAGACTTAAATATGATTTTAATTATCAAAATTTTTCAAACTTTGATATATTTTAATTTTAGAACTTTAAAAATTATTGGATGTAGTATTAGAATTTGTTGTTAATTTTTTAATGTGACAAAAGATATTATACGTGTCTTTTCTATTGTTTACACATATTACTATTGTGTTTGTGGGTTTTTTTATTTTGAAAAATCAGGTCTTCATAACCATCGCTTTTGCCTTTCTCTCTTATTTGCTTTTTAATAATAAGAATTACATTAATTATTTTGAAATGTCAAGATCAAACTGCACAAAAATCTGAGACTGAAATAAATTTCATTTTGATATTATAATTTTAAACTAAAAACATATTTAATTTATAATAAATAACAATAATAAAAGAATGAATAAGCAACTTTGCATCCAGTGAACACTCTTACTAAATTTATATTCTGAAAATAAAACATGCATGGGTGTTTTGGAGTTTACGTATTGGTTAAATTATTTTATAAATTCTACCAGTTTCATTAAATTTTCAAATAGGTTCTCAAGCTTTGAAAAATTTATCATGGTTTTGATATATCTTAGAAAAAATAAATACGTTCTTACCTGTTAATTATTGTTGTTTTTCGTAATTTGCAGTAAGTTAAACTCATTTGGATCACCTCTGAAACGAACCTTTCTACTTTTATAACTTAATAAAGCTTATCAAACTCTTAATAATTGTCAGCGTCTTTGTTAATAAGAGTAATTACTGGTAATGAAGACTCATTTATTTGTTTCTTAGAAATACAAGACTCTCCTTGAAAGTCTTTAAATCATAGAAACCACTTGAAATTCGAGGAAAGCAAAATTTAAATTATGGAGACTATTCATAATTTTATTTTTTTACACAATTTTATTAAATTTCCGAATAATAGTGTAGTATAAAAAAATAATAATAAAAGAAAACAGGGAGATGCACATGTCGTGTAAGTTAGTACTGTATTTGGATATAGAGGTCACGATCCAGGCGCCACATAAATCCACGGTAATCTATAATTCGCGGGTTATCAGCATTCGTTAATCCTAAACTCTGCGTTTTGATTGGACCACATCGACAAGAAACTTGCTCATTATTAGGAGCCAACCGAGTTTGGCTTTTCCACGTCGTCGTTCTTTAAATACTTAATATTTTCACCAATAACAACAGCGCCTTACAATTTCATTCAGGAGGATAGTATCGTAATGCTCGTTTAGATTTTTTCCGGAACGCTTGCTTTTCTTCTTTCGTCAAATTCTCTTCTTTCTTCAAATTTTCTTCTTTCGTCGAATTCTCTTCTTTCACGAACACTGAGTTGTTTTCTGTAGCATCATTCAGGTTCGTAGATCTCAATTTTCACTTAATTGTGTATTGTTTTCTTTCTTTGAAGGCTCGTGAGGTATGCTCAATTAAGTGGTGTTTTCACCCTTAAAAGCTCACGCGGTAATCTTTGTTATAATCTTGACGCGACAAATTTAGGGTTTTATTTCTTTTCTTTTCTTTGCCTTTTATTCGTTCCGAAGTTAAATTTATCTCAATTTATGGGAATTGGACTGTGATTAATTCAGTTGCTGAGAATTTGTCCAAAGATAAAGATTGCAGTGATCTGTTCAGTTTTTTTTTTTGCTAATGTTATTGTTTGTTTTCTTGCAGGTTTTTGTTTTCCGTGGACTTTTGAAACGTTTCCTTTTTTTTGTAATTTGGTTTTTGAGAACCCGAGGCATTGGGTTGAAAGGGAGAACTGGCTTTCAACTTCGAACTGCAATTTCAAGATGGTCTGTCCAGGTTCAACGCAGCTGTCTCATGACGTTAGGCTCAACAGTAATACTGGATTCTGTGGTTTTCATCGTCATGTACGCGGATATTTAGATATTTTTCTACAGTTTCCTCTTCAAATTCAAGAAATACTGAGTTTCATTTCAATCATTTGACAGAATCGGATGGGGGTTGGTCGATTACATTTGGTCACCATAAATCTTTCACCGGGTAGCTTGGTATGGTTCTTGTGAATTAAAATTTTCATGCATGGTCTCTTTTCCCTTTCCTCCCCTCTTTCGCCTCTATGTTTGATGGATGATTTAATCCTTTCTTGCTTGATTTCCTCTGTCCATGGGGTGCTCAATTGCACACGTGCATAGTTAATGTGGAATAGTATTCTGATTTGATTAAATTTTTAGACTTAAGAATGACAGTATGTTCGGACCCAAAATTTAGGCAAAATGTGCACCTTTCGATACTATGCTGGCTAAGGCCAAAAGTTTATATGTGGAAAAATGGCATTTTAATAACGTGTTTCGTCAAATAAATTATTATATCAATGAGAATGCTATCTACTTATCTTGTTATGCGTAAGACATAAAGTCTAGAAATTAGTAAGCTTGGCCAACTTAGGGTGTTTTTGTAGTAGAGGTGTCAAAATGATCTAACTCGGCCAGCTCAAAGGGATTGCAAAGCAGGCTGCGCCAGTTCAAAAAAATGTGGCCTAAACTGATCTGAGCGACTTTTGGCCTGACTCGCGTAGTCTGCAGTCCATATGGGCTCAGGTCGGGCCATTCTCTAGGCATCGGCCTGGACCAGGTCTAGAAGAATCATAGCCCGTTTAAACTCGTGCCTGATTGAGTCGACACCTTTTACATCTTAACCTGTGGCCCTAGCCGAGTCACCTTTTTGACACCGCTACTTTGTATATCCGATTAAGTTCCCACATTCCAGAAATAAACTTGACTGGATGTTTTTTTCATTTCTTTTCAATGAAATTTAAGTACTTAATGAAATACTTGTAAAGAGTGCAAAATATATCAGGTTTAAATTTTAGAATCCAATTCCAGCCCAAAATAAGCTGAGACCGGTTGGATGGGTCATTGGCCAAAATTTGGTCGAGTACCCCTACACTTTTCATATATTTGGTGTTTTTCTTTCGTATGTGCTAATATTGATTGTGTTCATTTTTCTAAACCTCTGGAGATATTTCGTTTGGAAATAACAGAAGCAAGACTCTTCGGCACTCCATCTTTTAAGTAGACTACATGCTCCAATAAGGCACGTGCCTTCCAAATGTAATGTTTTTATATGTCGGTCTGTCCTAAAACCGGGTGGAGGGAGTGGAACTCTGATGAAATCTGCTGGTGTTATTTTAACAAGGTTGGCTTCTCTCTCCTTGTTAATTTAGAAAGGTTCCCCAATTCAGTGGATATGTATGCTCATACCTGTATTTGGTTTCTCACTTGTTCACCTTTTTCTTTTTGTCGTATAACTTATGTTAACTTGTTACCTTGATGTTCTGTTAGCCTTTCTAATGATGTCACGCATATGTACAAAAATATCTGAATTTTTTTGTAATAAATTTCATGTTAATGAATCAGCTTGTACTTATGATTCAGAAGTGTATAATTAGAGAAATTCTAACAGCAGCCTCTTTCATATTGTTTGAAATATGGTCCAAAATCCTATTTAGTGAAGTTCTGATAATCGTCTAGTTTCTGATAAATTTCAACTAATGAGAGTCTCGGAGAGAGTGTATGTCCAGACTATTATGTTAGAAAGTGTGTTCCTAGCTCTCTTCATAATTATATATCATATTGTGGTAAATAATTATGTTCTCTTTTATTTCTTAAATATTTTTTTCACTCTGCTTTAAACCACTGTTTTCAATCTTCTAGTGCCTAATAAAGCTGCATGGTGGTTAAACTGCCCTTCTGCCCTGTCTGTTTTTGGTTTCTATTTATTTAGGTTGTGAACATATGTTCTGGAATAATGTCGACTTGTCAAGTGATATGTTTCTATTTTATCTGCAAGATGATGTTATAATATTTCTAATTTGTATATCTGAAGGACAAGGTTTATGATTTTCTACTATTCTTGTTGCTTCTCTCTCTTAATCTGTTATTTAATGCATAACTCTATGGAAATATTATTTATTTTTAGATATTTATTCAGGTCATATGATGCTTTACAAAGGAACCCCGTTTTGCTTCAATTGATCCCAGCCCTTGGTATCATTGCCTTTGCTGCTTGAGGTCTTGAGCCACTCATTCGACTTAGCAGGGTTTTGTTCCTTCAAGTAAGTTTCCTTTAATTTTTAATTATTCATTTATCCCATATCTGATTGATTAATATGATCAACACCTTTTCTGATTATGAAAAAAATATTTTCAGAGAACTGACAGCAGTTGGAAGAAAAGTAGTTCGCGATGTATTATGACATCTTATTTTCAGCCATTGTTGTTATGGATTGGGGCAATGCTCATATTCAGGTTTGTTCTTTGTCAAGCATAGACTGTAGAGTTTGAACAGATAAAATAGAAGATTTTATATAAGAGTTTTGGGATTGAACCAGAGTTTGCAGAACATAACCGTAACATAGGCCTAAGCCCAAACAAGGAGTCTCTGCCATCAAACAAACTTCAGAAATTTAACACAATAATCTGGAAACTGTTGCACATCCTGTTTAAGAAAAGCGCACTTAACTTCCGTACTACTGTATTACAGTTGTCAAACACACATAACTGTCCTATCAGCTGACAACTATATCTCCCAAGAAGCTCTATTGTTGTTGATCATAGAATTATTTGTTTCAGGGCATTAGATCCAGTAGTCCTACCATCTAAGTCCTGCCAGGTTGTGAAGCAGCGGCTTCTGAATTTTGTGAGATCTTTGTCAACGGTGATTTCGTTTGCTTATTGTTTATCAAGGTATTGATCATTTGTTATTTTTTTCTGTTTATACCAGACCAAAAAACAGTGTTTTTCAGTACTCTCTCTCGCTCTTTTAATTTTTAAGCGTATTGGGTCCCACATAGTGGTTAAATTATAATGTTACAAGGTTGCATTTTTTTTTTCAGTTTAATTCAACAAGCACAAAAATTCTTTGTGGAGGCAAATGACTCCAGTAGTTCAAGAAATGTATGTCTCTATTACATATTCATTTACTAGTATTGCTTGTTCTTGTCATATTTTAATTGTTACATCAATAACATGATGGACTGATTTTTGTTTAGGGCATTTGAATGAAGCCTTAGTTTCTTTTTAAATATAAATTTAAATTAAGAATATACTCAATGTATAAGAAATACATAATTGTTTGTTTATATTATTTTCACTTTTTTTTGTAGTATATGGATGGAATGCATTTTTATCAAGTCATTCTTCATATCCTGTTTGGATCTTTTTGTGTGGGAACCAAATTTTTTTAATTTCAACCAGCTTCTCATTTAGGAAAATTTGACTAACAGGTGGCCTTTGATTTTGCTGGGAAGGGAGTATATGCTGGTGTTTGGATTGCTGCCGTATCATTGTTTATGGAGATGTTAGGTTTCTCCACACACAGGTGGTTAACTGCTGGTGGTTTGGGCACTGTATTGCTCACTCTGGCAGGTCGTGAGGTACAACATTGTTTTTTTTCGCACTGCCTACCAGTATTGTTTTTTGTTCATTGTATGTTGTGAATCAATAGATATGTCAACTTGATCAAGTTCTGCAAGAATAAGTCTTCATAGTCAGTACCCATATTCAATCAGTATTTTGCATATAAAAAATGATTATTTAACACTCTTGTTTGCTATTGTCATTCTAAGTTCATGTTTGCGATTAATCCAGATATTTACAAACTTTCTGTCAAGCATGATGATCCATGCCACTCGGCCATTTATTGAGAACGAGTGGATTCAAACGAAAATTGATGGATACGAGGTTTCTGGCACAGTAGAGGTTTGTATCTCTAATCTACTTAGAATGAAATTTTACAAATATAAGTATCTTGGTGGTCCGATAGAAGAACTATTACCATGGTAGAATTTCTTATTTTGCAACTCCAATTCTCTGGAATTCAAATTTGTTTTTTCTCTAGCATGTAGGATGGTGGTCACCGACCATTGTTAGGGGCGATGACCGTGAGGCAGTTCATATTCCTAACCAAAAGTTTACTGTAAATATTGTGAGAAATCTGACCCAGAAATCTCATTGGCGTATCAAGAGTTACATTGCTATCAGTCACTTGGATGTTAACAAAATTAATGTGAGCATTATTGGATCACATGCTTAAAAAATATGTTCTGTGACTCTGATATGCAATGAAAGCTGATGCTATCTTGGTACCCTTTTTCTTAACGCAGAATATTGTATCTGATATGCGCAAGGTTTTGTCAAAGAATCCTCAAGTAGAGCAGCAAAAATTGCACAGAAGGGTCTTTTTGGAGAATGTTAATCCTGAAAATCAGGCTCTTATGGTTTGTGTCTGTTTTGTTGATTTGTTTATATGGCACGAGTCTTCAGTTTTTAATTTGCAAATTTTGATTTTTTTCTGCAGTGTCTCAAGAAACATATTTTGTCAGAAGTTTCCTTTTTAACTTTTTTTTTCTCAGTATATATTCTCTTACTATTGGTCCTTTTTGTTTCAGATATTGATATCTTGCTTTGTGAAAACTTCTCATTTTGAAGAGTACCTCTGTGTTAAGGTAAAATGATGCCAGCAGTAATTACAGTTGCTTATGGTGAAAACTTTTTTTTAAATGTCAGGAAGCATGCCATTAATTCTATTATTAGATCATCATCATTCTTTATGAACAACAATGTTTTCTTTTTGTAACACTTTTTGTATGTGAAAATAGGAGGCAATCCTTTTGGATCTTCTCAGAGTCGTCGGTTATCATCGCGCCAGGCTAGCCACTCCCATCCGCACAGTTCAGAAAATATACAGTGAGGCTGACTCGGACAATATACCTTTTGGGGACTCAGTTTTCACTAGATCTAGAGCTGCAAATCGCCCATACCTACTGATAGAACCAGCATATAAAGTTCATGGTGAAGATAAAGTTAAACCCTCAACCGGTGCAGCTCTCACAAATGAGGAAAAGGATTCCAAGATTGATGAAAGCATGGCATCTGACACCAAAGGAGATGAGAATTTTGGAGCAACATCTACCTCGTCAGCTGATGTAAACAACTCCAGGGATAAATCCCAGTCATTTTCTGAATCACAGACTAAAAGCGAAAATTCAGTAGATGAACGAAAGGGAAGTACAGTTCCTGTATCTAGAAACCAGGCTCAAAGTACTGAGCTTGAATCCTCTCCTGTTGCTACCATGAGACCATTGCTGCTACTTCACAGTCAAAGCAAGATGAAGAGAAATCTTCCGTCTCTTCGTCATCGGTTAGACCTTCCCTGGAAGAGAACATTTTTCTTGGGGTTGTCTTAGAAGGTTCAAAACGAACACTTCCAATTGAAGAAGAAATGACTCCATCTCCCATGCCCACGGATTCACAAGAACTTGCTGTCCAACGGAACGGTGGTGGAACTCCTGCTAGCAAGGATAAGAAGGATGGTCAGTCTTCATTTCCAATTGATAAACAGAATGACTAGAGTAGTGGCTGAATTAGGCCGGATTAGAAATTGATATTTCAGTATATACCTCCGATAGAAGTTAAAAATGATCCAGCTGTCTTTTTATAAGTTGGAATTGTGCATTGTATTCTCCCTAATTACCCGTGTATGTACATAATTGTCAATTCATGGTTCACATAACTTTCAGAATCTATGAACAGTTCTGATTGTGGCTTGTTCCCCACTCCGATTATAGGCCATAAAAGGTAAAATGTATCACTGGCATTTGATTTAGATTATGGTTTATGGTTCGTACTTTTACAAATAAATTGATTGAAACTTTCGTACAATCAAACTTTCTTAGGTGGAAACACTTGTGGAAGGGTAATAAGGTCGAAATTAGCCAAATCAAGCTCAGTATTGAAAATGGTTACTCGATAGGCTCCTTTGGCTTGTGTACACTCTTAGACAATTAAGCCATTGGTTTGGCTTGAACAGGACCTCCAATAGATGGTCATTTATAACTCTTTTCCATGTAGAGGCATTTTGAAAGAATCCAATATTGCTTTGTAGTCGCGATGATAAAAAGGTAATGATTGTTGTGGTGAACTTCTCAAGCATGTATGGGCATTTTATCCCATTTCCATCATCTATATTCATCCTGACTAGTGAGTGACCTTTTCTCTAAGTCGATTGATTTTATAATATACCTATTTTGATTATTCGTGAGAGTGAGGTCCTATTTTCATGACATTTTATTTTAACAGCTCACCATTTTAGATTGGACCCGTGAGCTGAGAATAAGGTCGACCAAAAAGGCGACTTGCATTGGATGCTTTCCAGAATATTAGACATGTGGTGGATATATCCCAACTGTACGACTTTCCAACTACCTTATGATCATTTTAGAAATAATTATTTGATTATTGATTATTAAAGCTATTGGAGTGTACTGTCTGTCAAATTATTAGTCAGCCAAACCCATACATATCTCATTCAATATGAAAGCAACCCATTTCCTATTATTTGAGCGTGTGGGTTTTGTATGTTACTGTCGCTGTTGGGGAAATTTCGATTCATCAGAACACTTATGAATGTGTTTGTCGGTGAAGAAACGGAAATAACTTAGAGGAGTTTTTTTCTTCATAAAAATCATTCATATAGTTGATAAATAATCTCATCTCTAAAAAATGTCAGCTTGTTACTTAATCTTAGAGTACGTGTAACGCGAATGGTGCGCACATTGTTTATCCATGAACCAATATTGCACTGTTTGTAAGTACCATCCTTATATCAGCAATGCTATATAAAAAATAATTGAAAGTAAATTATTTACAATATTACCATGTATGCCTTAAAATTTTAATATATATATTTTTTTGTATTATAAAAGGTCCTAACAACAGTCACATAATCTCATAATTTTTAAAATTTCATTAATAAGATAATGATAGCTTAATAGATAAATTAGGTAATAAAATATCAGGATGCGAGCTTTAAGGTGAGACCCACTTAAGAGTTCAAACAAAGGTATTGAAATGGAGATAATAGACACTGAGAAGAAATATATATATATATATATATATATATATATAGACACACACACTAAAAAAATAATCTAAGCATCTAAAAGGATATTCCTTATTCAATATACTCTCAGACATTCGCTAAAGAATATCTTAATTTGATAAAAAGAAAACTATTATCATATAAAATTGATTGATAATACTATTTGATAAATTATAATGTACTAAAAATTTGTAATTTTAATATTGTGTACCAATCATGAATTAACAATCGCAAAACTAATACATTTTGTAATAGTTATTCTGAAAGAAGATATTTAAATTGATTTCCAATTAGTTATAAAAGGAATATAAAATTAAATAACATATTTTAAATGTTTAATATGAAGTTTTTTTAAAATATAAGTAAAAAGACACATAATAAAATCACTGCTTGCTACCAATTCTTTGTATAAAATATTATTAATCAGAGAATATAATAGGGAATAACTCGTGATTATATAACACTTTTTTTAAAGGAAAAAAAAAAGTTTATCGCTAAATTATTGCTGACTGAGGAAGGTTGTGTGCTGATTTTGACTTGGAAGTATACAAATTTGCGTTTCTAACAATTCGCGATTCTTCCGTTACTGAGAAGAGGATTATTTTCTTTCTTTTCTCCCACGTCTTCGGAATATTGTCAGTATCAGACATCAGCGTATCTCTCTGTCCTAGTCCCTTAGGAACATCATGTATGCATTTGCTCTGAGAACTTCTAGTCTCTTCGCTTCTAACATTACCGGGTTTGTCTCTCATACAGGTTAAGTAGGCAAAAGTTAAAGTAGTTTCGATTTGTTGGTAAGATGTTGTGCTCATCGCATAACCTTGGACTTCATTTCACTTCAATTGGACTGTCTCGCGACGTTAGGCTGTACAATAATCATGGAAGCTGTTGCTTTTATACGGTATGTGGTTACTTAATTTATTTTTTTTTCATGAGATTTCCTCTTAGTTGTAGGGCATATTTGAATAAGTTTCTCCATTACAACTTTTAGGCTTTTAGGATAGAAAAAAAGTGAAATGAGTTTCTCTGACGCATGATATTGTTTGTAGAAATTTTCTCATTGAAATATTCAAATCTTTATTTTTAACTTTTGAAAACGATAATTCTAGACTGCTGCAATTTTTTTCTTCTGCGAATGTTTGTGGAAAAAATCTATCCAAATAGGCCCTTACGATGTACAACGTTTAGTTTCAATTTACTTGTCTCTTGGCATAAGCGCGTCCATGGGGATAGATTATGTTTTGTTGCCATTAGTCTTTTACCACATGGTTTGGTATGGCCTTCATCTATGAAAGTTTCCTGTTTACTGTTTTTTCCTTCCAAGGATTTAAATTGTGGTCGCAATTTTACTTTGTTACTTTATGTTATTGAATATAACCGACAAAGGAGTGCCACAACTGTGCTTGTAGACACTTAGGTACAATTCTTTAGGTGTTGATTGTACTATTGTCTAATCAAAATGGAGTTTCATCCTGGTATTAAACATCAATTCTATTTGGAGAATTAAACGAACAGCATCTAAGGAACTGTATTTAAGTTTTTCTTTTTCTAAAACCTTGGTTCCGTCCTGGGATAGCTATGTTTGCTAGTTATCTATTTGTCTTTGAATTTTTTTTTGCTGGCAGTTTCATTTGCAATTTTCCATGCTTCAGTGATAACAGTTACTGTCTTAGATGTGTGTTTTTCTTTTATTTATAGTCTATATCCATGGAGAGCTTTGTGAATTGACAGAGGCTAATGGGAGTAGTAAATAAGGCAACAGAAATCAAATATAAAAAAAAACGTTACTTTTAAATCAAGAAACTATTATTGACTGGTAATGTGTCAATATACAAAACCAACCAACCAACTAATACATTATTTATGAATGACACAGGTATCTCCAATTCTATTAACCTTGTCTAATTTAGTTACTTCTCTGATCAAAGTTTCTGCTATGACGAGCGTACACAGCACTTATCCTATACACTCAGCAAAAGATATAACAAAATGAGCCATTCCTTAATTCACATTTGCTAAAAGAGTGCAATTCTCCTTGGTGAATATGAGGGTAACTGTAGCAAAATGATTCGATGCCATCACATCACTGGGATCACGACAACACATAGTACTGTAAATTTTTATATTAAGCATTAAAATTAAAAAGCAAAGGGTAATTGCAGGACTAGTTACATTACTCAGAACCATGCTTACCATATTCTTCTACTCTGTGAAGAGCATCAATGAGAACATCAGTTGTCCAATCCTTTACATCCTCCTTTGCACAGCACGTGAGGATTTCGTTCAGTCACTCGTAGTGTGTTTGGATTAGGTTCATGGTTAAAAATTATCAATTAATTTTTCATGAATAAAGTAAAAAAACAAATAATTCTACTTTTTCTTGGTATCACCATGATTTCATAGGATGATAAGATAGAATTGATTTGTGTTATCTAAACACCTTGTAAATCTAAATGTTTCCTAACTCCAATGCAAGTACTTTTGCTGATTCTAAAGTTAAGTAACTTTAAAATAGCATTAGAACAAATGAGTTCTTAAAGATGTTGCATATGTAAGAAACTACAACTAACAACATTGCTTAGCATTAAAAAAACATTTTTTCAAGTCAAAGTGAAAATCTTGTGAGCAGAGAGGTAAAAGAAGACTTACTAAAAGCAGCTTAAAAACTCAGGTTCAATTTTATTATGGTAATTTGCATTTTATTAAATACATTGCATATTACTAAGGGAAACTCTACCAAACAAATCGACGAAATTAATCATCTCTCTTTTCTTCCCCCTCCTTCCTACCAAACAAACCTTTAGTCATGTTTAGTTTCTTATAAAATGAGGAATCGGTTTTGAAAACACAGAAACAAAAATGTTTCAGAACCCATTTCTCTCTTTTCAAGATACTAAACATGAATGGGAGAAATTGTTGGATTCAGAGATTGAACAGTTTTGCAAACACTTGCATTGAAAATGCTCATCTAAGCAAGTGATAGTTGCCTATATCATGTGCGATGAAGAATATTTCATTTTACCTTTCACTTGATAGATGTTGACAAATCTAATTAAAGTATCAGAGAAGTTAATTTCAGCCATGGTTATAAAGTTCTCTATTCAAGATTTATTTCATTTGAGAAATATGTTCTCATGGAATATAAATCCTACACATATAAAGAGAAAGAAAGTATAGAATGCAGTTAGGTGAGAATGATTACCATCCAAATTGAGTCCGGGGCTTGATCTCTCAACTTCTCACACTCCTCTCTGGTGATCATCATTCTAACAGTGCCTTGACCTTTAGGGACACTCTTTATCTAATGCTCCAGCAATTCTTTGGTCAAGATTCATTATACTGTCACCAGTTACATCCATTAGTCACAACTTCATTTCATCAAACACGTGATGTGCAACTAGATCAATCACTATACCCCTCACATGCATATATTTGTTTGTGTTAAACTCTAGGGAAGAGAGAAAAATTGAGATGAAACTATGTGTTTTTGATACAGTATGAGTGCTTTATTTATATTGAGAAACAGTAATCAATACAATAAATAGGAGATTTGATATCCTCTAATAACAAAGACATGTTAAGTGAATAAATAAAAATGTTCCTAATAATACATTCATAATCTAAATATTCCTGGTTATATATTATTTCTATGATTATAACTGTTTGTTTATGTTGTGAAGTTTGATGGTGGCATACCTAAAATCATGAGGAGATTGACAAGGAGA